TTCCTCGTGGAGGAAGCTATGTAGTCCTTTCGTTTATAAACTTTTTAAAAATGGTGAAAACAAATTTTCCTCTATATAGAAACATGTTATATGAGATCCTGATCAATTGTCCGGATGTATGTATGTGTGTGTGTATATGTGTGTGTGTGTGTGTGTGTATGTGTGTGTGGATAGTTTTTGTGAACACGATATCTTTAACAGGTTTTAATGGATTTGGGTAAAATTTGGTAGGCTTATTTAACACATTAATCTCTCAAAAATGACGAGAGGATTTTTAAAAATACCCCAAAAAAAAAATTTTATCGTCTTTTTTCCAAAAATTTTTTTTTAATTGAAAAAATTTTTAAATCGAAAAATTTAAGGTAATATATAATATAATCGTCTTCTTTATGTCAAGATGAATCGATTGATATATATAAAGTATAGATTTGATTGAAATTTAAAGAATTAATGAAAGTTAAAAAATCAAAAATTCTCATTTTAGCTAAAAAATGATGTGTTTATTTAAATTCATGTTTATATATGAAATAATTTTATTCCCTGCATTGAAACGAATTGGTTGGTATATATAAAGTATAGATTTGATTTAAAATTTGAGAATTAATAAAAATTGAAAAATCGAAAATTCATATTTTAGCTAAAAAATTTTGTGTTTTTTTAAAATTCAAGTTGATGAATAAAATAATTGTATTCCTTGCATTAAAACGAATCGATTCGTATATATAAAGTTTATGTTACACTCAAAATTAATTAAAATTTTCTTTATTTTTCAAAAAATTTAATTAATTTAAAACATTTTTAACTCGAAATTTTTTAAATCAATCAATTGAATTGGACAAATTCATTGCTTCCTTCACGAGGAAGCGAATTTTTTGCTTCACAAAAAGAGGAAGCATAATGTTTATGAAATAAACATAAAGGACCCCCTCCTTGTTTATATTTGATTTCATAAATAATCTGCCTAAATATGTACCTATTTTGCAATCTAGCAAATATTATATACACGGATACTATTCAATGAAAGATTAAGGAAATTGTGAATATATACAAAATACTTATACGTAATGGACAGTTTTTTAATAATCAACTAATAATGATAATTTTTTATTAGCAAAAAGAAACTCTTATTTTAAAATGAATCTTAAAATCAGCGCTAGTAGTTGTAATGGAAATTGCATTGAGTAAATTTAGCAAAGCTGCCTTAAGGGGGGCGCCTACTTTATAGAAAGTCAAAAAATGTGTAAACAGGAATTTTTTTCTTAAACGCATTGAAATATATTGATACGGTTTTTTGTGGATGTTTTCTTATATATTTAAACCTTCAAAATATAATTTTTTTATTTAAAAAAAATAAAATTTAATAATAAAATAAACGTCATATACTCGCTGCTGAAATTTTCCCATTGCGTCGAATCTAGGGTCCACAATTCTTATCAAAAACAAAAAAACAACATTTTTTCTTCAATCGTACATTAGTGCCTTCTGTATGAATAAAAAATTTTTTTTAAAGTCGAATTTAACATTTTTGTTTAAGAAAAAATCAGTTTTTCAAAAAAATGTTTAATTTTCAAAAAAAAGGGTCAAAATTTGAATTTTTTAAAAAAAAGTTTTGCACCATTTGAAAGAGCAGGAAAAAACCTTTCGAAAACATATGGAACAAATTTTTCTTCTTCTTTCTGTTTAAAAGTTACAAGTCTTCAAAAATTCACTGTTTAAAGTTTTCAAAAAAATTCAACCCCCTCTCTCTCCGACAGTTTTTGAAAAAACCGAACAATACTTCGTGGTTAAATTACTCACCCCTAGGGCTAGACTATGTGCAAGTTACAGCCCGATCCGATCAACGTTTTTTTTCACTTAGTTCGATATAGGAAGTTTACCCCATATATATATTTACATATAGGTCAAATTTTTAAAATATTCGGCATTTTGATTTTTTGGTCCATTATCAAAATACAACATTTTTACTAATCAAAAAGCATAAAATAGACTTGAAACTTGTTAGTCCGGGGTTGTTAGGGTCGCTAATTATGAATTCTGTGTCAGTTTTTTAAAACTCAAAATGTCAGATTCAATATGACGGACTTTTTTTCAAAAAATCGTTCGGATTTCATTGCTTCATGAAGCTCTCGCCTACATTTCAAAATATGTGACCTGGTCCTGGTGCCTCCATTCCTTAAAGAAATGCATAAAACCACCCTTAATTATTCTTTTTACAAATTCAATGAGGTACTTCTCAAGAATTTGTAAAATAATAAAGAACCATCCTGTTTCGACACTGGGTACTTCCAGATCCTAAGAGGGTGAGTTCTTGCGCACTTTTCAGTTCTTGTATCTGGAAAACTAAAATTACAAGATCTTTTACCACAGGGTGCTTCCTTGGTAAAAGTAAATGTAACTTACAACGTTCATTTTCCGGATTAGCGCCAATGGGTAAGACTTTGTATGGAGGTACAAAGTCACTGTACAGCGTACCAGATTTTGGTACGCTGTTCCCTGTTTTAAATAAGAGGTGCAATTCTTACCCTTACTTTGGATACCATACCTTGATTTTACCCTATCGGTAATCTAGGGTAAGGCGTAGTGCGCGCACTATATTTGGGGATTGATTTTCACCATGAAACACTTCACAGCGAAACGAGACAATGGATCAGGAGGACTAGGGCGGAAGGTGGACTGACGGGCAATTTTGAGTCGAAGGTCAGGGGTTCCAGTCCTGTTCTGATTCTATAAACTTTCCAGTATTCTTGTATGAACGGTCGAAACGACAAAAATACTTTTGCTTTATTTTTATATAAAGAATCAAGTTTAGTTTCTTTTATTTTATATTATATTGTCGAGACAACGAAAGATGTTCAATTTACTATTTTTTGTCATCAAACGACACGTTTACTTATCATTAAAATTTTGGAGAAATCCCTTTAACATTAAGACTTTTAAATAAACTATTTTTTTGTTACGTTAAGCCTGTGTTTCTCTGACTTCACTTTCCCACTTAACCTTTATGGGACTGAGGAAAAAAACATCTTCTATAGGCGGACGAGGCACTCGGGTACCTATGTTTAATTTATTGAAGATTTTGTATTCAAATAAATAAATATATAAATAAATAAATTTTCCCATTGCATTTTCCCAAACTAGGGTCCACAATTCTTATCAAAAACAAAATTTTTTCTTTGTTCGTACATTATTACCTTCTATATGAATTAAAAGATTTCGATAGAAACTGAAAATTGAAAATTTTACATGACTTTAAAAAAACAATTTTAACTTTCGACAAAAAAAACTGATTTTTTCTTAAACAAAAATTTTAAATTCGACTGTAAAAAAAAATTTTTATTCATACAGAAGGCACTAATGTACGATTGAAGAAAAAATGTTGTTTTTTTGTTTTTGATAAGAATTGTGGACCCTAGATTGGACGCAATGGGAAAATTTCAGCAGCGAGTATATAACGTTTATTTTATTATTAAATTTTATTTTTTTTAAATAAAAAAATTATATTTTGAAGGTTTAAATATATAAGAAAACATCCACAAAAAACCGTATCAATATATTTCAATGCCTTTGAGAAAAAAATTCCTGTTTACACATTTTTTGACTTTCTATAAAGTAGGCGCCCCCCTTAAGGCAGCTTTGCTAAATTTACTCAATGCAATTTCCATTACAACTACTAGCGCTGATTTTAAGATTCATTTTAAAATAAGAGTTTCTTTTTGCTAATAAAAAATTATCATTATTAGTTGATTATTAAAAAACTGTCCATTACGTATAAGTATTTTGTATATATTCACAATTTCCTTAATCTTTCATTGAATAGTATCCGTGTATATAATATTTGCTAGATTGCAAAACAGGTACATATTTAGGCAGATTATTTTTGAAAACAAATATAAAAATATAAGAAATTTATTTTTTATTATTAAAAATTCATTTTTAATACAAATTAATTCTATTTAAAGTTCATTTTTATGGTATTTTTTAAGTTAAAAACTGACGTTTTTTTAAGAATATTATTATTTAACTATAGTAACTAAATTACATATTTTATAAAAAAAATTATGTGCATTACTATATAAATTTTAAAAAAAATTTTAATGTAATTTTTCATAATTTTTTAATAGAAATTTCTACATTTATCTGCATGAAATGTACAGAGGTACGCGGGTACCTTGTCCACCTTTTAAGGGTGAAGAAACTTAGTTTATTATTTCCGAATAAATAAATATAAAAGGTACATTATAAATAATATTAAAACACTTTATATGGATGAATTTGAGATGTCAAAAATCTTAGGTCGGTACGATTTTAAAAATTACGAAAAAAACCGATTTGAAAATGCAAAAGGTACCCGGGTACCTCGTCAGTTCCATAAAGGTTAAAACTAAGGATCTCTCTCGGACAAATTTTGTAATAAAGAAACCTGGCTCTGGCGAGCGTAATTCGTGAGTATAAATTTACTATCATTACAATGGTAAATTAATTTTTTACAATACATCGAATACAATTGAAACTCGTTACTTAATTTTTTTGGTTCGTTGACATCAGATTTATAATCAGCGACCACAATAACCTCTAAGTAATGAATTTCAAGTGAAATACTTGAATTTTTAATAAATTTACCTGCCATATTAGATCCGCAATTTTTTTATAATTTTAATATAATTGCAGATGTATAAATAATATAATAAATAAGGAGGATATTGAGGATATAAATAAGGCTATAATATATTTCCGGATCCAATACCTTAATAGGGAACGGACAATTTACAACGGGACAAATAGTATAGGGTCTGCATCAGTTTTCCTTACACGGTCCCTTATAATAATAAGGCAACCTTATCCGAAACTTATGGTGTCCGAATTCAAATTTGTGCGCGGATCATCCTACGTCCCTAATGACGTACTTCAGTACGTATTTTATGACGTACTTTTTTCAATAGTGTAAACATAAACATAAATACAATTAAAAAGAGAAAAAGTTCGAATTTTAAAAAACATACCTCTTGTAATTTCTGCATTTCCTGAGACAATAAATTATCCAAAATTTCTTGAAATCTTTGCCTCAGTTTTACATTTTCAATGCTTGTAATTTCAAATTCTTGCTGCAAACGACGCTCACGTAGTACTGCTAGCTCCGCATGAAGCTGTTCCAAACGTGCTTGTAATGAGTCTAATTCAAATAATAATTATTATAATAAGTACATGAAGAGTACAAATTAGTACAATTATAAGAACATACTTCAACCCGTTGTGGTCAAATTTCGAAATAAACTTACAATGATCATATGGAATACCCTGTTTATAAATCACGGTTAGATTAACTTTAACCCAAAAGTACTGGCCCATCTTAGCTCTTTTCAGATATCAATTGCAAATTATTTACTTAGTAATTTGAACCTAAGATAAAAAAAATCGGTAGAGGGATTTTCGAATAAACTCGATTTTTGTATATTTTTAAACTTTAATGGTAGTATTTTTACTTTGAAACAGTTGAATATTAATCAATTCGATTTCTAATCATGCATAAATTCTTTCTGAAGTTGGCGTGTATTCAATTTAAAAGTGTCAGAATTAAAATCCAATGTTTGTTAATAGTCTTGATTCTCCACGAAGCGTACAATTGCATGTCTCTTGTGTTTTTTAAGAAATAAATTGTACTAAAATTAACTTTAGTGTTTACAAACAAAAGCCTATAGTCACTTTAATATATAAAATTATATATTATTTTTAAAATGCAAATTAAAGAGCCAAACTGTTATGGAGAAGCCTGTCCCCAGTGTCATTTACGAGACAAAAATAAATACTTTGTTGTTAAAAAAATTTATTTTTTTTATCTTTTTATCGATCTTAATTTTTGTCCCCAGTTTTGTGCATCATGGGGAAGCTTTTTAATGAAACTGAATTATTTCATAAAAATCAAAACAAAACTTAGTTATACTTTTGCAAGAGCAATAATTAACTCCCTCAAGTAGATTCATTACGGCAGAAACTAATTTCATAATTGATTTTTGTTTTCACATCATTAAAGCGCCAATTTTACACAGAGAATCACAGAATCTTTATGGGAAAGCCTTCACATATTTTACAATAAATTCACTAATTATTAATATTTTCTGTTAAATAAAGTGTAGTTGTATTACGCTATCGTCGGAAATTGTGCGACCACTGCTTTTTTGATGACTATAAAACGGTTTAAATCTTCAAAATTATTAAAACTAAAATTTGTTCCTTTTTATTTTCTAAAAGCTAATAAAATTCTGAAAGAAATGACACCTTGACAATGAGAGTATGTTAATTTTTCAATTGGATATCTAAGACAAACCCAATTTTCAATATTTTTACAACTTTTTTATTTCTTTGGCTTTTTTAATAATTTTTTTCGGTGATATAAAGTGTGTTACTTTATTAACTTAATATCCACATATTAATACAATATTTTAAATATATGTTCCTAAATTCTCATAGAAAAATATTGCAAATTGAACGAGTGGCAGTAAATCTCTTCAGGCGCCTCGTAAAAAATGGATTTGCGGTGTACAACGTAACTCGCAACAGAATCATCTAAATAAAAAAAAAAAAAATTTTTTTTGTTAACCCTTTGCGGCACAGTAACCCAGATTACCACCTATTTTATTTACAACTTTTCTTACTGTATTTTAACTTTTTTAAGTAATATTCATTAATTTTTTTTAATGTGAATGAGAACATATTATTGAATGAAACGAAAATAAAAGTAACAATATTTACGCAAAATTATAAAAAATTATAAATAAATAATTGTAAAGTAATTGTACAGCGAAATTCGTCGAGCCGTTTTAAAAAAAGGTATTTTTTGTATTAAAAAATAAATTTTTCAAAAATTAAAAATGAAAATATATTATGCCGATTAATTAATTAAGGAAATAGGTAAATTAATAAAGTAACAGATTTTATTCTTCAAATAAAATGAAAACTAATGTTTACATATCATAAGATATTAAAAAATTAACATATTTTTAACAAACAATGTTATACATTAAATTTTATATTTTTCTTTTGTTTATTATGTACGTAAATTACCGCAACATCGGTAGATTTTGAATTAATTGAATTAATCGAAATATAACCTGTTTATTATATTTAATTTTTCTTTGATCGGCTTGAAATTTTTACACAATATTCTTGAAATATTATACATTCAATTGAAAAAATAAAAAAAAATTAAATACCATACCCCTCCCCCTTTAAATAACAGAAAATGATCAGTAAAATGTGTAAATCTCAAATTTATTTACATAAATCAGAGGAGCTTAAGATAATCTATTTACTTGATTTTTAAACATTACATTTTGTTGTAAAATGCAACTTTAATTTTTTGACTTTTTTTGAGCCAACTTTCACGGTTTGCATACGCTAGGGAAGAATGTGGACATAATTTGTTTTAAATAGTTTGAATTGTATAACAAAATACGATTCCAATAAGCCCGAGAACGTTAAAAAATATTAATTTTTGCAACAGAAATAAAAAAAATAGTATTATTTTATTAGCTTTTATGAAATAAAAAAGAAAAATTTTTAGTTTTAATATTTTTGAAGATTTGAACCGTTTTATAGTCATCAAAAAAGCAGAGGTCGCACAACTTCCGACGATAGTGTAATTTAGCAAGTATAAATGCTAAATTGGTTAAAACATCAGTATTAGTTGTGCGTCATGGGGAAACTTTTTTCATTAAGGACGTTTATCCACAGAAATGCAGACCTCTAGAAAAAAATAATTAATTAATATTTAAATAATTAAAATAATATTATTAATTGTACTTTCTGAAAGAAGAAATATCAATTATTAAGAAAAAAATAAAAATTTAAAAAATTTATTTGTTTATACAATTTACATAGGATAAAAATTTTCTGTCACATCGCTTCTACAGAATTTTTTAAAAATGATTCAATTTCAATGAAATATGGCTTTTTTTCTTCAGAAAATGATTCTCTACAACTTCACCGTGGGGATTTTCAGACAAGCAAGCCGTTTGGAAAATATGACTATTTGTTTAAAATAAAAATTTAGATTTTTTAAAACAAATATTAATATTTTCTAAATCTTGCTTGTTTGAGAATCCCCACGGTGGTGTTGTAGAGAATCATTTTCTGAAGAAAATAGGCCATATTACATGGAAATCGAATCATTTTTAAAAAATTCTGTAGAAACGATGTGATAGAAAATTTTTATCCTATGCGAATTGTACAAACAAATAAATTTTTTAAATTTTTTCTTAATAATTGATACTAGCGATGTATTCCTCGCTCGCTAACGCTCGCTCGGTTATGGTTGTACTTATTGTTGTTTACTTATTGTAGTTTATGTATATTATATATATAATTTATGTTTTAAATTAATATCTTATTAATATTGTATAAAATTTATCTTCATTTTGATTAGTATCATTGAAGGATGAAATGACAATTGTTAAATATTAGATGTTTTTTTTTATTATAATTAAGACAACAATATTAATTATATTATATTATATAATAATATATCATATTATATTATAATATTTTTTTTTTATTTTAAATTATATTATATTATATTGCTGTAAATTGCCCCACAAACACATGGAGATTTTGCAAATTTTTGAGAAAAATGTTCGTAATAAATCGAAAAACATTTTAAATTATCGGTTTTTATTTTTATTATCCAGAGTAAACCTTTATAAAGAGATTATTGTTTGATTTTATATATATTACTTGTTGTGCGGAATTAAGTGCACCAAAAAAGGTTCCTTTTGAAAGACGTCACCTACACATACAAAATTAAACTAAATACTCTCCAACAGTTTTATAAAAAATTTTCTACATAATTTGCAACAATAATTAAAAGAATTTTTTATTTTTATTTTTTTGGCACAATTACAATATGACAGATGATTGTAGTCAATGTAAAAGCGATAATTGTGCTATGTGATACAGGATGCAGGTGTCCATCTATTTTTTGAGAATAATTTCAATTCTATGAAAAAAAAAATAGAAAAGCAGATAATAGATTTGTTGTGCTGTATAATCCTTATTTGCTATTACTTATAGAGGGTCACATTAACATTGAACCAGTATCTTCATCCATGCATTCAGTCAAATATTTACATAAATATTTTTTTAAAGGACATGACTGCGCTTTAATTGAAATGAAAACTGTAGATAATGATATTATAAGTGAAAATATTGAATCAACTAAAGATTCAAATGATGTAAAAATTAATAAAGAATATACTGAAATAAAACAATATGAGAATACAAGATATGTATGTGTGTGTTATTTAGTGGTAATAAAGTTATGAATATTTTGTCCGCCCCAGCACGGATATTTCATTTTTATGATTATATGTTAATTTTTGTTAAATTGTAACAAAATATTTTAAATAATAGCAAAATTGTACGCTACGCGGAGAATAGTCAATAATTTCATTACTGCTCGCTCAGAAATATCAAAAGCTAGAAGTCATGAAGAAAATCCGTACAGTGTTTGACTTTTTTTGTTTTTGGAAAAACGTAATTTATGATTCTTATTAAAGGTTCAACAAATGATTTTGTCATGAAAAATAATTTATTGTATCTTTAATAGAAATCATTATTGACGTTTTTCCGAAACAAAGAAGGTAAACACATTAACGATTTTCTTCATGACTTCTAGCTTTTGACATTTTTGAATGAGCAGTAATAAAATTAAACAGTGTTATTAACAAACATTCAGCATTAATTCTGACCCTTCTAAATTGAATACTTGACAACTTCAGAAAGAATTGATTCATGATTAGAAATTAAATTGATTAATATTCAACTATTTCAAAGTAAAAAATGTACTTTAAAAAGTTAAAAATACACAAAAATCGAGTTTATTCGAAAATCACTCTTCCGAATTTGTTTCATCTTAGATTCAAAATACTCAGAAAATAATGTGGAATTAATATCTGAAGAGAGCCGAGATGGGCCAGTACTTTTGGGTTAAAGTTAGTCAAAGCCCACCATGAAATTCGGACTGATTCGAAAATAATATTAACTCTTTAACGCCCAAATGTCCAAAATTTTTACCTTAACTTTAATGTAAGAATTAAAACATTAAAAAACCAAATATTTTAATGTCAATGGGTTCTAAAGGGTATTGGCGGTTGCTCTTTCAGATTTTGAGGTCAAAAT